ATGCAGGAGTCCGTGTGACTCCCTGAAAATTCTGCCATACTAACTAGTTCAGTTCCGGAGCACGGCCTCGCGGAATTACTGTATTTTTTCAGCTAATATCCAAAGAAAATTTGGCAGACATGCAACTGCATGAATCTTAAGAATAAGCACATGCGTTATTGTTAATATCTTTAATTTTGAACCTCAGACTGCGGACTCCCTCATTTTGCTGCGGACTCCCTCTTTTTGAGGGTAGGGAGTCCGTTGGGGGCAACGGACTCCCTTGTTCAAAAGTCAATTTCTACCCCTGCACTGTGTGAGTGGATGTCCGGATGCGTAGCCTAGAGGCTAGGCGACCGGTTCCGAACTAATATGTAACCATAAACCACCATGAGAGTAGGGCCCTCTGCCTCTGTACGTCTTGACTAGTCTCTTATCTTGTCTTGTCTGATACTGTACTAATCGCCTGGTGTTGCTATAAACGTACAGATGGATGTTGGGTCACACCAAAAAGGTAATAGGCAAAGGTATAGAATACAGATCTCCATATTCTATGCTATCACTGGTAATTCATTAACCCAATAATTACTAGGGCCTAGATAAAATCCCAAAAAACAAACATTGGATTTTGATTTGCCCGCGTCTACTACTTACGTTTCCTTTTCAGGTTTCGGCGTTAGATCGGAGCACATGCTTCTACGGGGCAACAGCGACTGCGTTAGCCTTGCATTCTGCAGCGTCCTTCGCGGTAAACTGCCGCGATTTCTCATAGCGAACGCCAAATTTCTGGACAGCGAAGAAATTCGCTGCAAAGTAGTTGCCATGTTGAACCTAGGACCCTAGTTGAACCTGTTGGTGATTGCAATTGGAATGTGTCGCCACCTATCGGACCAGTCGGGAATTTCTGTGACGGCAATGCAATTTGGTGGTGGCGCCCCCTAGCGGATCACTATATTTCCCCCGAGACCTATTTGATTATAACGAACATTAACGTATAGCAATCTGCTACATCACTGGCGTAGCTAAGGGGGGGCACAAGGGGGCGCCCCCCTGTTGATTGGCAAACAAAACAAAAACAAAAAATTTTCCTTGCCTTTCACGCGTCTTCACAG